ACTAACTGCTGTATTTTATGTTCTCTTCTGATCGTTCGGTAACCCAGCCGTACCGGCTGGGTTACCAACCAATCATCGTCGTCCATAAAATACAGCAGTTATTGCATACTTCGTATGCAATAACTATAAAATTTTAGATAACTATTAAATAAATTTTATTTATAATTATGTTTATATATAAATTATAACCATGTAAATCTATATTAGGTTTATAGACCTATGTATAATTTTAAATAAAATATCCATAAAAATATTTACATAACTCTACATAAAAACAACTTCGTGATGCGGGTGTTTCAAACGTTCGAAAACACGGTCCCTTTTTTTAAAGTGACCTTATGCATAGAGACCATTTATGTAAATATATATATATTGCATAAATAATCATCGTATAAATTCACAAAAAAAACAGTGATCGTGTTTTGGAACTTTGAACACCCGGTATGTCTTACTATGATTTATTCGGAAATGCATAGTCTTTAATAAAGTATTCAAGAGGAATATTTATTTGTTTTTTTTCACACTTGATTTTTCATTCAATTTGGTATTCAACATTGATTAATTAATTCTCATTTTGTGATTGTAATTATTTGGACGGTTTGATTTATTTTAGTTCTTAAATAACTCAGTATCGATCTTTAAGCTTGTATTACTGGGTTAGCGATAATAACATAAGATCATAGTCACTTTGTGAAAAGTTTTCCTTCAAGATATTTATTAACCAAATCATTAGAGAATTGTCGTGAAATAAAGGATATTCTTATATTGGCGTCTTAGATTAAGAAAAGATATTTCATAACTAATAATACGATCATTTTAAGTGTACAGTATTATTTCGTATGACATGATCGCATAAATTCCGTAATCTGAATCTATAGTTATTCTGTATCCACTTATAACATATACATAGTGCTGCAAAGAGAAAACCTGTAGTTCTTATTTGATGAAAAATTACTGATACAGTTTCTTTTTGTGGCGAACGTAATTATTAAAAAATTTCAAGTTTAATAATAGCAAATAGTGATAGGTTCTAAAATTATTAAAATTATAGAAATCTCGATCTGGATATCAATGTGTTTAAAAGTAAAATATATATTAGTCAAATAAATGATCTTGGTAAATATTCTACGTATGCAATGGACCAAATTAACATTTTAGGATTTATTAATTATATACCATCATTTTTTCAGAATAAAATCCAAAATGAAATTAGTATTACAGTTAGTAATTAGATTGTAATGAATCCAGTAGTAAATTTTGGGCTGATTCTGACATTAGAGTTTTACATTTCCTTTCTTGGCGATAATTTCGATACATATATTTTAGAAAAAGTCAATGCAAGAACTGCAATATTTGAAGAATATATTAACACGTTGTCTAAACGCATAAATAAAATGGAGAATTTAATTGAAGATTGAAATTTTGGACAAAACAAGCTAAAATTTTATGCTGCAGCAGCAATTTATATCGGTAATAATGGAACTAGTGCGCAGGTTGATTCAAAAGTTCAGGAGCTTAGAAAGAGATATAGAAAGATATCAAAAAACCGGAAAGGCCAGGCCAAAAAATGGCCATATTTAGATGAGATGAATGAGTTATTTGGAATAGAGAAAATGTAAAATCAAATTATCTAGTTTTTAATTTTATGCTACCGGGTTAACTGATTTGGATATACATATTTAATATAATGAGATCAAGCATGTGTTATAAATCATTTTTTTTAAAGATCTCATTATATTGAGGTTTTTATAGTATTTTAGGTTAATGATTTTATATTAAGTAAATTATATTGATATTTATTATATAGAGCTGTAGAATTTTAAAAATTGTAGAGCCTAAATCGTACTGATACCAGTTCAAATCGTAAGACTGTTTCATTTAAACGAAAATGAAAATTTTATCTATTATATAGATGAGTTAAACTTATAAAAGAAACAAAGAAGGCGTCTTTAGATATGGCGCAAGAACGTTTAAATAAAGAGCATGAAAAATTATGAAAAGTTTGAAAAAGAAGAAAAAGAACGAATAGAAAAAGAACAGGAATGGAAATTTAAATTAGAAATGGATCGAATGGGAAGGAGTTTCATTTTAACTTACAAGTGAAAGAACTTGAATTAAAATATAGAGAAAATAGCATTGTGTACTTCTCTATTTTTATAAAGCATCATTAAATTTAATGTCTTATTTTTTCTATTATATAGAAAACCTTTTAAATATACCATTTCAGGGCTTTAAACATGAATAACAAATTTCTCATTGCTTAAACAAAAAGAACGTTTCCGATTTTTGCGAATATTTAGTTGATATTTTGTTGTGTTAAGTGCTTTTTGCCTTGAATCTGGAAAAGATTTTTTGGATAGTAGTGACGATTTATCTATTCAGAAATTTTCGAAGCAGAGTCTTATAAAAAAATTTGCTCGGTATTAACCATACATGTTGTAGAAACTATTTGGCATTGATTTTTGATATGAAACCTCAGTGATTTCATATAAAAATCAATGCCGAAATAATTTCTACGGCGTGTATAGTATTTACCATGTTTTCTTGGTTAACTCTGCGGAAATGCAACTCCTTTCGTCTAATTTCAATGGCAAAAACTAAAATGTAAAGGCACTAATCTAAGATATCTAGCTCAGCAGTAAAGGTGGGATTAATATGCATATACCTATATATCAAACAGCTTTATTGAAGCAAGTATTTATATATAAATCAACAAATTCAGGAAGTTTAATATTTTAATGTTCCCAATGTTCCCAAGAACATTTTTTTTAAAAAAATTAGGAACAATAGGAACATAAACTTTTTTTTTTTAACCCAAGGTGAAGCACCTTGAAATGCCGTTGGCATCTGGAACATAAATTTTAAATTTATGTTCGTAGGGAAAAAAATTTTTTTTCCACTGGTTTGGAATGGAGGTGTATGGGGTCTTTTTATATGTTTTTCAGATCACAATACTGTATTTGCATCAACATTATCGCCAAACTTTATTTTTTTTTATACTTCGTACGTACAATAAAAAACTTCGAAATGTCACCTTGATATCGATTTATTGCCCAGTTTTTCATCTCCAAAAATAGTATACTGTAATAGTATTACTGCAATAAATTTATTTGCAGCATCAACTTTATCACCAAACTTTATTTTTTTTATACGTTCGTACAGTAAAACTTCAAAATATCACTTAAAAATATCACTTAGATATCGAATTATATCCCAATTTTTAACCTCCCTAAAAAATAATATATATATATATTTGCATAATAGTAATAGTAATCAAATATAAAAAATAGTATTATTACAATAGTAAGCTGTAAATTGTTTATAAAAGGACCGGCTTGATACGTAGCCTCACAAATTTTAATGATTGATCAGAGCTTTCCTTAAAGTTTTGCTAGTTGTTATGGTATTTTTTTGGGATCTCGTCCTCTTTTTCATTAAAAATTTCATAAATTTTACGCATTTAATATTATCTTTTTATCGTTCATACTTTGATTAAACGACAAAGTTTTTTCAGTTGTCACCGACGACCCATCTATAATAATACGTATTAATTAATTATTTACCATTAATCCTGTAATCAATCATGTCTTATCCAGGTCAACAACGACAACGAAGAGGTTTTTATGTCAGCAGGGCATGTACAAATTGTCAACAAAAACACACAAAATGCTCTGGAAATGTAATTTGTGAACGTTGTACACTACGTAATCTTGAGTGTACTTTTATTGATTCGGGTAAGAAACGTGGACCGAGGGTGAATTGTAAATTCTCCGAACAGGTCTCTGTTTTTAACGGTCCTGAAAATGAATTTGAAGGAATATCTATGCTGTCCTCCACAATCCCTAATGCATTGCGAGATCACGCATCGACTCTATCATCACCATCAGGATATCCACAAACATCAGACAATATTGACAAGGTTACTCTTTATTCTAACTATGAAGAACAAAATATTCGTGCTTTTCAAGGAGTTGATCCATTTTCTTATCAAGCATGTACCGATACTGGATTCGTTATGCAAGACAATAATATTATGGATAGTACACCCATTAATCATAATATTATCTTTTTATATGAAGACTTGTTCTTTGATAATAATTATATTCTACCATTCCACAATTAAGCTAATGTTTTTGACTTTTCACTTGATAAGCCAGTATTTTATGCAAACTTCACACTTTTTATATTTCTTATTTATAGTTTAAATTGTTTTACGCATAAGTTTTACGAATAAGTTTTCAAT